AAAAAAAAAAAAAAAAAAAAAAAAAAGGTAAAAAATAAGCTTTTTGCGTGGAAATTTGTCATCAACCATACATTAGATATTTAAAGCATTACCTGAAAAATGTATTACCTGAAAAATATCTCATCAACAAATGCAGTTTTGTTGACTACCAACTGTAAACTATAAATATAAGCATAAATAAATATCGAGAATTTCATGAGCACTGTTGTTGTGTTTCGTCTAAAATGTTCGTCAGACCTTTTGTTCTGTAAGTGCCAAACCCACTTCTCCCTTCTGTAGTTCAACCACTTAACAACACTTGATCTGACTATGTTTTGACACTTACCCTTCGCCTTACTCATATGCCAAACCCAAACAACAACAACCTCGGTACAATTTTCAGCCATTAAATATGCAAAAAAATTTGCTATATTTATGTCAGATAATGCTGCTGTTTCCGTTGAAATTTGCAAAAGCAATTTGAGCATTTCTGCTCCCTTAAATCTGATGTAAAAAAGAGCTGTGAAAGATCATTGTAATACCACCCAAATTAAAAACTTACAAAAAAGTTAGTGAGCAAGTTAAGTTTGAAGTCATAAATCTTATCATTCAAATTCCGGGCATCAAACCCGCATATGACCAACCATTTATACAGAATTTGTGAAACAAATAACCAACAAGTGTACTGTACACTTAAACTTTTATCAGTCACCTAATGCTAGTCATCTCTACTTTTTCCATTTTTTCCATTTTAATTACTAGAATTACTAATTAAAAAATTACTAGAAAAAGATGTCATATATTCTTTATCAATATAAATAACATTAATGTCAACATGTGCATATATATACTTTAATAAAGACACGAAAAAAGTACTTGTCTACCGTTTGAGGTACTATTATAGACTGTTCTTGCGGAACTGATTGATAAAGGTTTGAGTGTAAAATACTACTGCTTGTTTTTCCAAAAACTGAAAAACAAAGTTCCACAATCCATAGCTCCATAATTCGTTATCAGAAAATTTAAGGGGTGTGACAAATTACAGGTTTGGAAGCTATCCGAAGCACTTTATAGTAACCGTACTGTAATCTATTTTATTTGAAAGTTACAATTCTTTAAATTAAAAAACCTCTTAGTAGTAAATTTATCCAAAACATATGAACCTGTTTTTCAAATTCTTGCAGTGATTTATGTTGGACTTTTTTGCAAGTAATCTTCAGTTGTGTGAAGTAAGTATAGGCAAGTGAACATGATAAATACCAAGATATCATCAACAAAAATTTTATAATTGAAGCTAAAAAATTCAAGGCATTTTGAAAGGCCATTACTATTTTAGTATTTCTACGCTGCTTTCAATACGATGCATTTTTCATCGCTCGGTACAATCGTTTAGTACAAAATTATCCCTGCAAGTTGCACAATTTGATCAAGATCGTGCTGTCATTATGACAAGGCATTAGAAAGTCTAAAATAAAGTTCAGCTGCTGCTAAGCTCTTTAATAAATAGAGACCGATTACCAGCAGAGGAATCGCAACCAATAAATTCCTGATAGAAAGTTGTGAATCAGTAAGCCTAACTACCGTGTCTGCAGTATGAAGTTGCATAATTTGATCGAGATTGTGCTGTCAGTATGACAAGGCAGTAGAAAGTCTAAAATAAAGTTCAGCTTGAATTTCCAGCGTTTTAAAATGGAAGAAGACGCATAGTTTAAAAAACGCCATTTAACAAAATTTCATTATGACATCTTCACTTCAAACGATCGCTTTTTAAAATAAGGGATTTTGTAGTCCAATGTTGCTCTATGAATCTTTTATATTAAGAGAATTACCAAATTCTTTCTTATGTTTGTAGCCTTTAAAACGTCATCCTATGATATTTTCCCATAGTTCACTGATAATTTGCACTCACAGACAGGTTTCCACGAAAGCTTTCAAAAAGTTTTCAGCTTTGCAAACCAGACAAATTTTCACTCATCTTTAGGCAATGTTTTTCGTCACCCTTAATGACGAAGCCTCCACATGAAAATAAAATTTCTCTTCATCTATGGAAGACACAAATATATAAACTGCGGACCATTTTGAGACAAAATGATCAGATAAGTTGCACAACGATGAAGCCGGTTACATTTCACTTTCCTGTCAACGAGATTTGAAAAAAATAAAAAATAAAAAATTTAAATTTTGTCTTTTTAAAAGGAAAGACAAAATGACACCTCGTTCCAGTTGTCAAACCAAAATCAGGCATGCGTTTATGACAATGCTTTACAAGAGACTGTTTTTCACAAAAAGATCTCATATTACTGTAACTAACTGCTGAAATTCCATAAATTAGTATATAAACAAAGTCTGCCACTTCATAAAGCTCCTAATGCTGCATTTTCCATCATCCAAAATAATATCAAATACTTTCAAATGATTTTTGAAGCATTTCCGTTCCGGTCGCTACTAACTTAATGCTCGTTGCTGAATCGATTCGCACTACAGCTTACAACTCATCTCCCTTATCACTCATGAATGGTCAATGACTTTAGTCACCCATTACATTTAACATATAGTCAGCAAAAGCTAAATTTTTACATGAATCCTCTACCATGCTACAACAAACAGAAACAGGTCTACCAACACACTCAGAGTAACTACCCGCCGACCCCACAGAAAACCCGCCATGCAGACACACAGTAATACAGCAGTTCCTCCTGTACTAAAACTCGAGAAAAAAAAGACATTGACAAATCCAAGGCCAACACCCTTAACCCAACTCTTTCAAGTAATCTTTACTTTCCAGCTTTCCATAATCTACCAAATCATTAAAATTCGGCGATGATAAACCGTCGCGATGGCGAACAACGAAAAATAAAGCTGAACTACGCTGCTTTTTTTATATTTAAGGAGTCAAGTACTCTCTAAAAACAATTTTATCACATCTATTCAAAGTTTCAAAAACCAAAAAACATTTGAAAGTGTAAAAATTGGTGAACGAATCGACTTGTACAAGTCAACAGCACCCTTTCAGTTAGTTCAAAACAACGACGCAGATACAATAATCACGACCGCTAAAAATTTCAAATGACAAGTTTCTGTAGTACAAAACTAACATTTGTATACAAATTGCAACTCTTTAAAAAATTTTTGAAAGCAAGCAAAACTCTACAAATGCACAACGAAATAAATAAGTGATACAGAAAGACCACTGAAAAAAAAAACAGAAATAAAGGAATGAAACAATATCTTTAAACACGAGAATTTGTTCTAAAAATAATACAAAAAAAAAAAAATAATAATATTATGGCAAACAGAAAATATGCATTGTATGACGACATATTAAATTCACACTTTTCCTTCACTAAACAAAATAAGCCATTGCTTTGTGACCTACAATCACTGCCAAACTACTTCTCACTCCTTAAAATGGGCTGTAGTTTTAAGTTTTCATTTACTCTCCTTCTCAGCCACCAAACAAGAGACAAAAGAATCAATCAAGAAATTCAAACAAGGACTTAATACCTTACACACGCCATATTAAGAAAATTTCGATAAAAAGGCAAGACATCTCAGTAAAAACACCTCCGTCAGCAACGTTCAACTCTAATTCACCTCAGTAAACCGAAATTAATAAATTACACTCAAAAAATTTGTTGCTTTTATTAAATACTGCCTTCCAGTACGAGATTCGTAAAAAACAAGGTCATTCCAGCGATGTAAGCATCAATAACTGCTTCAGCACTTTTGTCTGTGAAGTCTCTCGTATTTCACCAGCAAGAAACATCTCATCGACTACTGAATAAACCTGAAACCTTAGTTTTGCCTTTAAGATGAAAACTAAGACAATCATTTCTCTTTTTACTTTATATCCATCTTATATACTTCACTCCTAAATAAATAAAATTTAGATAGGCAGTTTACTGAAGGTCGTAAACACATCTCCATTTAAACTCTTATTCCAATGCTGGTAAATTAGCAAAATTTCTCTTGAAAAGGTCAATGAAAAAGAAAATTCCACCTTGTAAAAGTTAAAGACAAGGTCCAGCTCGCAAACATTATGGAAATACTCATTCAACACTTCAACAAAATTGTGGATCGCTTCCAGGTAATACAAATTGTTGTCCATAATATCAACACATATGCAAAAGTAAAGACCAGCATATCGGCGATAAACTATTTTGAAGTTACGGAACTGAAAGCAAGCAAGACACTGTTTTAAAGTTAAACAGAATAAGGCGTCCTCAGTACCAAAAAAACCTTAAAAAGAAAGAAAAATTTTTATTAGAAACACTCATACTTCTACAAAATTCGTATGTTTCGCATCTCGAACGGTTACACATGCATGTACTTCTTCAATCAATTTTTGCTTCTCGTCATTGTCAAAGTTCATATACCACTTTGCAAGTCGCGTTTTCCCTGCACGGTTTTGTATCAATATAAACCTTATCATTATTACCCTGCAAATTTATATGCCATTTACAGTGCTGGACAACTCTTCTGACCGAAAAGTAAAAATGGCGAAAAACAAGACAAAAAAAAGAGAAATTTATTTGAAGTAATTGGCATGAAATAGTCACGTTGAACCAAGCCACAAAAACTACTGACAGAAAGAACCTGCAAAAACAGACTGAAAAATCATGATGATATAAGGATAGTGCTTCCGTTTTCTGAATGTTTTTTCATTTGTTACCATCTACTGTGAACAACCAACAATCCGCACGGATCAATCAGTTCTTACAATTTATAAAAGAATCGGTGAGCGAAATAAAATACAAAGATACCTTAAACGAGGAAAAATTATTTGAAACCCCGTAAGGCTCTGAAGTAGACTCCAAATAAGGATTAACAGACAGATAAGCAACAAATTTGATCGACTTTTTCTCGTCAGTTATGGCATGTTACCAAAAAATTTTGAAAATATATACACATACTAGTAAGTAACAGCCCTCTATCCTCATTGTGCTCATTTTATGAGTGGTACCATTCAGCCTGAACTAAAAGCTTAACTTTATCTCTGGAAAATGTAGTGTACTTTCTTAAGCTTTGAATGGTTCTACAAAGGTTGTTCACTTGAGCCTGAATAAATTTAAGTTACGAGAGCATCTTTAAAGCGGTGACCTCATGCGCAGAATATCATTTTAACTTGTGTCAAGTTGCTATCAGTTTGACCACCATTCTCTTCATAAAAAGTAAATTTCCCTCTGCAAGTGAGAATAATTAATCTGTAGCTGTCTTGGCAGAAACCTGAACTTTCTTCTGATAAAGACTGAATCTACTCTTATTACCTACACCACCGCCAGTTTATATCCGATCCCTTCAGCGAAGCGCCATTTTTGCCCTGAAACGCCAGATTTCTCTAAAATTTAGTATAGCACTTGGTTTCTAATTAGCCAGTTTTTAAGAAATGTCTACAAAATTATTTGCTTGATTTGAACTATATCTTGAGCTTACCGCATCAACTCATGGTCTATTTAAATGAGTTGTTTAAAGACCCGTTAATTTCTATTTTTTTTGATGACGTTATTGAGAAAACAGACGCTTGAAACATCTCTTCAGTTTCATTCTTCTCTTCCACTTTCATGCCTGCAAATTTGATTAAAGCCAAATTACACCGGATAATGATTCACGCTACGTAACAGTTACAAAACCTTAGTTTTCGGTTGTCTGGCAGGTTTTGCTCTCAGAGTCGCGCGACCGTAAAGTACATTTGTCCAAATCCGCCGATGATGATGATTACAGTGTCTAAACTTTCAGGGTTTCGTATTTCTCGGTCACCCAAAATCCACCTTCAAAGTATTCAATTCAACACAGTTCTTCATACACTCACCAGAATGATTAGTCCTAAAATCGTTATTTCAAAATTTGATCTTCCGCAAATCCGTCGTTGAATAACAAATTGTTAAAAGCCATTTATTTAGTTTTTAGAGAAAAAAATTTGGTCAAACTTTCCGCTCTATAAGAACACCTATTACGTGATACAGAGTTTTAAAAGATCGACCGCCATGAACCGAAGAATACAGGAAATTTGGTAAAATCGCGACGAAGTGTACTATTTCTGCAATTGCTTCGTCTGAAGATCAGCAGATCAACTCATACTGTCTCATAATCGACGTTTTGAGTAAATTACCCAAATTGACAAACTAATTTCATCAAAAACTACATTCTTCTGAAGTCTTTTCCCAGACAGACGAGTTTGAATTATCTCATTTGAATTATTTCATTATCAACACTGATACCGTCCTGATTCCCTGACAAAAAACTTTAAACTATCAGAATAAGCGTAGTTAAAATTTCCGAAAAACATTTGTTGTACTTACTTAAATTATTCAAAATTTTAATCTTATTTTTACTTGAAAATACTGGACTGAGAACTAATTGAAACTCGGTAATTCTACTTGAAGAGAAAGATTACCCCGTTACCAAGTGTGCCACGCTTTTATCGTCTTCAATTCAAAGCTTGTCTTACCACTTATTTTGAGCACTGTCACCACTTCGCTGGCAAGTTATACTTGCTCAAAATGTGGCATTTTTTCAGTGTTATACTTGGCAAGAACTTTTTTAAGGATACTTGACTTTTTTGAGCGTTGACAAAACTGTGGAATTTCAAATTTTTATAAAAGTTCTCACTTATTAACTTTTGAATTCTCTCCACATTCTTTACAGTTTGCAGCAGAACGAACTGAAATTTAAAAAAAATGGAAAACTAACATTAAAAATGCAGAAAAAAAATATGTCTGTGACTTTTTCAAGAAAGTAGCTAGAAGTTCCATTCATATCTGAGCCGAATTTTCTGATCACATCAATCTCTTAAACCAATAATTAAATGCAGGATGAAATAAACGTCAATTCTTAAGGTAACTTAGTTATGGAATTTGCTTAAATTTTGAGAAACTACTAGATTTAGCCTTAGCTTAGCAAGCATATAACATCAGTCTCATTGAGACCCCACTAATAAACTTCTTTTGTTTTGCAAACAAAAAGATAAGACCTTCAAAAAAAAAAAGTCTGAGGTATTTTTTTCGGTTGAAGTGCTAATTAAATACACTAGTAAATTGCAGTTTTTTCTTGTTGCAACTTATATAATAAAAATATAAATTTCGAATAGAAAGAAAATAGGTTTTCATATGGTTTTAAACTGGGTTCTAGTTACAAATAAAAAGTTATAAGTCTAGACAACACAAAAACTGGAAAATTTTTACATCTCAGTTTCTCAAGTCTCTCATTTCGGCACTTCAAAACCAGGGCTAAAATTTGCTAAAGTAAAATTCAAAAAGTTTCTGTGAATTCCAGAAGTGTGCCGTTTAGTACTGAACTAGCCGCACCTTTACTTGCTCTCTTTCACCCCCAAAATTTTTTTCAATTCTTGACTGTTTAGCCTTCTTTGACTTTTTATACGCTCCGTTTTGTACACCTTAACACCTAAAAAATGGTAATCTTATGATCCACCAAGTGATCAGAGATGATAAACGCTGGAAGAGGACAAATTATTGACAACTTGAGCAAATGACAACTTTTTACCATTTTATTCAGTCTTATTTCCAATATTCTGGAGAATTATAATCGTAGTGAACAACTTCAAATTAGTTCGGCAACAAAGGCAGCAAAAGAAAAATTTTGATCTCTTGGCACTCTTTTGAAACAAACAATTGCTGCTCTTTACTCTATCAAATGTAATTAGTCTTCTGAAATGTTCTAGTTTCAGCAATGTCAGCTAGAATTGGTTTTTAATTGAGTAGGCATAGGAGGACAGAAGTTATTAAATATATTGCTGGACACATTATCATACTGTGTACTGAAACTGTTTGATAAAACACTATTCAAAGTACAAATGCTTCTGGACCAATAAATGACTTGCTTCACAAGAAAAAATGCAACTTTCTGCTCATAAATACATTTATAGAAGAAATGTTATTCTGCTGCATTACCAGTGACACCCTTTTGAAATTTTATAAAGTTGAGGTGTTCATTTTCCCGTATCCCTTGAGTGCATTTCAAAGAAATAATTAGAAAAATAAATTACAGATTTCAAATTACAAAAGATTATACATCTCCAAAAAGGCAAAAAATAGCAATATTCTTTTCCCACAACACAGAAAATCACAGTAAAACGCAGAGAATTTGTTGTTGTTGACAAAAACAACAAATACAGGTGAAGAAAGAGTAAAGACTTTAAAGTGACAATCACCAAAGTATATGTGATCTTCTGAAAAATTCAAGACTTCTTAGTTAACAATTTGGAAATTTACTGGATTTCAAAATTCTATAGATACAAGGTTTTAATCCGTTTAATTGCTGACTGAGGGCTGTGAACAGAGACCTCTTGGATAATGATTTATCCTGAGACGAACTGGCAGATGCAAGTAGTAGTTAGACGTGCAAGCTAGTTGCATGAAATAAAACAGCAGATGGTACTTCCCACAACAACTTTCCTCAAAGAACTTTAGGAGAAGCAATCATTGCAGGAAAAAATTAAGAAAATGTATATACAAATTGCGCCCGACGAATTAGTCCTGTCGTCTTTGTCCGCCCTAAAAGTATTTCACAACTAACAACCCATTCTCTCCCTATCTCTGTACACAGATCTTCTGAAAATCCCGAACACCAATCCCTAGGATTCTAAAAAAAGCTAAACATCTTTAAAATCTTCTCTGGCGGACACAGCTGAAATAAGTTAAAAAAATATGTCCATTATCCGATAAACGACAAATTGAGGCAGCATATACAATGTGACTTTAAAAAACATTAAAACTGAGAGATCCTAAACAAATCTTTCACAACAAGACATGAAAAGGCAAAAAATAGTTGTAACTGAACCTAATTACAGTCACACGGATTACCGCACAAAATAGTTTCAGCTAGATATAGCTTCCAGAAGTAATGTAAACAAAAATGCTAAGCATCAACGGTTAGGGAACGATGAAAACTCTGGACAGAAAGTCCGTATAAATAAGGAACAAGCATACCAGCTAAAAATATAACTGTCTTCTTATTGACGCAATAATCATTAATCGGTTCCTTTTGAGGAGACCCTTAAAACTTTCAGTGCTTTCTATGAATGTCGTTTTAAATGCACCTAAACCAACTTAATCATCTTCATTAGGCATGAGCAGCATCAATTGAATTTACTGCAGTCACAGGAGCAGGCGGTGTCAAAGCTACAGTGTCAGATGTAACACTTTTTTCCGCCATTTTTGTATGTATTCTGCTGAACTCCGTTTTATATCTTTGTACATCAGACTCATCTTCCACAGCGCCTGGTTCAAAAATATTCTGAAAGCAATCAAGGAGCAGAACATCAAGAAATTCTAATTCCAAAAAAAAAAAATAATTTTAGGTAGGAAATAGCACACTAACTAAAAATTATTTGCCAAACTTCACTCTATAATCCAATGAAAAAATGCTCACCTCAGGAGAAATTTTTTCAAATATGCTACGAACTCTGAATTCATCCATATATGTTCCAAGCAAATGAACCATTTTCAAGAGGTAGTACTTAATGCCAGCAAAATCCTGATTCAAAAATCCTCCTTGACCAAACAACAAATATAAATTGTAAAAAAGTCACTAAAGAAATGTATTTGTACGCTTACATCTAAAGCTGGGAGGAGGTAATCATTAATAAGGCAAGATGCTACTTCTTCATTTGTTAGGAGGTTCTCAAAAGGAATAGACTGAAGTAAACGATATGTCACTAAGTGAGCCCACGGGTCGCGATAAGCCATCTGGGAAACGTATTTTCATCATAAATAATCGAATGTGATGTTAACACTAGTTTTGCAACGATTCAGACCTTATCTTTCAAGCTGGAAAAAACTTTGAAATATCGGACAAGTCCTGCAGAATCACCCGGCTTACGCTTACTCGGGAACATTTCAACAGCGTAGTGAATCCATAACAGAGCGCAGGAGACGTCTTCTTTTAAAGAGCGAAGTAATGCCTCACTCGGTTCGGAAAGAAAATCTTCGATCGGATTATCATCCACAACTTCATCTAAAAAAGTAATTAAACAGACTTAAGAAAATAAAATATCAAGAAATATTCTGTTTTCTGTATTTCTTAAAAACAATATCGATTATCAGAACAGGAGTAACTCTTATTGAAGGAATAAGAAACCTGGCGCTCGAGATAACTCGCTTCTTAAAATATCTTCAACGATAAATGATGACATTGAAGGAAGAAATTTGGTAAAAACCATCGGGTCAACCAAGAGAAAAGTACTGGGATCATCAGTTTTCAAAATATAAAGAGCATTAGCACCAATATTTAGTAATCTGCAATAACTGTGAAAGATTAATTCTCGGCAACGTACAGCGTTCAAAGATCTACTTGAAGGAAAATAAAAAATTAAAGCAAAGTGCCCTAAAGCTACGAAAACTTTAAAAAACTCAATGCTTTTCAACTTCTGAAGAAAGCCTTCAAGAAATTATTACTTCTTTCTGAAATAAACTTGATCCACAATGAAATTTTAAGTATATAAAACTAAATATAAAGAATAAGCAAAAATTAAAACCGCCATTCCCCTAAAAAATATGTAAAGATCTCAGAATATGTAAAATTTGAAACACCTAAACAGAAGCTGAAGAGACGGAAGTTCTCGTGGAAGATGACCAGCGGCTGGATTTGCTGCATTATCTCGCAGCACTTTCACAGACATAGAGCAAAGAAAGTGTAACACATGGGAATCTGCTGCTATCATTGCCATGTCCCCGATTACCTTGAAGTTAAGTATTGTAAGACAAAAAAGAGCAATTTCATCAAGTTACGGATCAAATTACCTAGAGACTTCGGAGATCAACTACCCCTCATATCGAACGTCAAGAACAGAAAAAAACAACTTCTTCAAAAATTTGTACCTCAGGAGATGCTTTACGAATACTATCCAGAAAATTTTTCAACTTGTTGGTCTGTTGAACGTCAAGATGTTTGTCTCTTACGCAAGCATCTAAGCACCAGGCAAAGTCGTGGCAAGGATCTGAAAACCACAAGGAAAGAAAAGGCTTTTCAATTTAAAAGCCTTTCTGGCCCGCTAACAATTTTATGTCGCTGCATAGTACGCAAGCTTCGATCTTGATTAAAAAAATAAGAAAAATAGTTTTTCAAGAACTGGAGAATAGGTAAAAATGTCATTTTAACTGGCATAAAATCCTCTTCTCAGTCCCGAATAACCATACAAAAGAAATTTACCTTTCGTAACTATACTTAAAATAACCAACCACTTTTGACTATTGCTTCGACATTACTGTCATGCGCAGTCATAATTAATTCCATCCTCAAGGAACAGTAATTAGCGTCGTTGTTCTCCATAAATTTTTTCCGGATAAACGCGATCAGCCTTTCATAAAGTGTTTCAAGTTCGCCAACCATACACATCAATTCTAGAATTTTCCTAATACGTCTCAAACTAATGAAAAGGATTTGAAGAATCAAGAGCAGTAACCTTGAATTTGAGACCACTGCCGGCGTGCTTTTGTCGTCTCACAAGTGAAAAAATTGGTTGGAGATTGATCCACTGACAAAAGTATTTTCTTCTTTTCCTCAACATATGAATTTATGACAGGTTCAATAGCTTCAAGATACAAAGCATCATTTTTCAACCAAATCTGTTGTCTGACCGATATGGCACAGCAGTTGTAAAATTCTGTGTCCGCAACTATAATTTTCAGATACCTAAAAAGCAGGTCAGGTTAATCTTAAAAAGACATTGAGTTAATCATTAGTTTAAACATATTCGCTCTGAATGCCCCAACACTCTCTTCAAAGAACTCTTAATTGAACAGCGATTTCCACACCTTTGTTCTTATCCCTGTCCAGTAATGCATTTCATCTCGCAACAGTATCACTTTGTATTAGCGATACAAGTAAACAACTGGTACCAGACCAGTCTGCTTGAAAAAATTAAAATTAAAAATAAGTATGTTACGAATAATGCAGCATCCTGCATACTCCCAATGTCCCAAATTGTTTCAGCAGAAGATGACGTACCTGTCCGGAACCTTAGGCAGTTGCTTCAAAGTTTCCAGCACGATTGGACGAAATTTTGGAGCTCGGTATAGTTTGAAACTTTTTCCAAGCAATTGTTCCAAATTTCGGAGCGAATATCTCGATCCCTCGGCTCCCAAACTTCGAATCTTCCCCAAAAGAAGTTCTGTAAGGTCATTTATGGCCTAAAAATCCAGATTTTATATAAACGACATAAATAATATTAAGATCATTAAAAAGACCAAACCCTCTAATACTTAATCAAAAAGTAATTAACAATTATTATACCACTAACACTTTATTCAACTTTCAGCACTAAAACTTTAGCCATTACCGCTTCATGAAACTCCGTCCTTCGCACGTTATGCAGGTCTAGCAGTTTCATTGCAGGCTTCAGTGTAGGTAACTGTAAAGAAACTGACTATAAAGCCAAAAAATGAAAAAACAGGAAACTGCGCTGAGAAAAATTGCTTAGTAAGGCTATTTTGTTATACTTTGTAATACGCTAACACTGAAAAACCTAATTTTTTATTTCCAGAAGAAATAAACTCTTGGATGAACCAAGATAAATAAAAGGGATATCAAAAAACGTTATGCTCCATCACTGCTAGTACTCATTTCGCAGCCCAACTTTTCTACTACCTGGCATAAAAATAGACATTCACTGACAAAGCCGTGGGCTCAACATCTTGAGAGAGCCTTTCAGATAGCTTAAACAAAGACGGTTTTGAAGCTCTAAAAACAAAATTTGAAATGAGCACTGAAGAAAGTTCCTCTTTTGAGCTCTGCGTAAGTAGAAGAACTACTCTCTTACTAACTAGAATCCATTCTTCCTACAATCTAAAACCAGCCTTGATGCTATTTTTTTCCTGAAATTCCTTGATAGTTGCGATCGGGTCCGAACATGTGGTCAACAAGTGTTTTAACCTACAGGACCCATCAATACCGTGATTCTCCAAATCCATTAACCACTGTTTTCCTGGGGACGATGCAGATCCCATCTTTCCCAAAACACATAATAATCCGTCCAACAAGTACCAAAAACCTCCTCACCGATGACAACAAATGCTACAATTCGTTTGTGTAGATCGAGTTTCAAACACAATAAAAAAGACCCTTAGCAATCGTAATAAACCAACGCAAATAATTCTTACAAAAAGAATACATCTGCTTCGAAACACTTCAAAAATGCCAAGCAAGTCTAACTATAACT